TTAGGGCTGCTCCGGAAGCGAATTATGAACATTTTTCTGTGGAACCCCAAAATTTCAGCGAGTGCCCCGCCCACTGTGGGCGGGGCTTCGCATAGGTCAAGTGTGCTTTTTATTTCTTGTCCCATGCTCTACCCATCCCCACCTTGACCCGACCTCTCCAAGTCGTTCTTCAGGTCGAACCGAAAACGTCAGCAGTGCTGCTTTGCTAGATGTTCTCTATTGTGCTGACATGGCTGTCAGGTGGAATACTTTATTAACGGAATGACGTTTCGACTAGAACGTTTTCAATAGAAACTTGGCGACTAACGTTTGAGCTGACATGATTCATGGTTTGAACTTGCTCCCTGTACACCTTAAAACATCTACCTGTAACTACACAACTATCGCAAGCCTATGGCGGTATGTTTGCGAATTTCTGAAGAATTAAGTAGAAGCTAAAGGCAATAATTTCCACAGCTAATGTTTTAAAGACAAGTCTCGCGATTGCATGTTGTGGATAGTGGCATTCAACTACAATCTTGCAGTCACTGAATGACCCTTACGGAAGAAATGAGCAGAAGTTCTTCCGGACGAGTTCTCCTGAAATACTCGTTCTATTCCAGCAAAGCGAGTGACCACCTCTGACTTACCCGCAACGATCAGATTCCCTTGCGTCGTCCAATGCTTATAACACCTAATAGTTGTTAAAAAGGCGAAAAACGCTGTAAAATTTAGACTGGTGACAAGAAATGCCTTTGGGTTGGTGGGTGGAACAACTAGGGAGGCGTCAGAACTGCCACCTATGAGGACCGCACCGTCTACGTTACTTGCTGGGATGGGTTAATCTCAGAAACTGAGGACCACACTACTTGTAGAAGAAAGGATGTTCACTAATTCCATGAGCAGGTGACTGTCTTCAAGACTGCCATGTTTATCAGGTTATTGGTCACAGTTAAAACCGATTTCTGAAAGCGACTCCAAACGGTCATCAAAAACACTGATATTCCACTATTTCTAGCCCCACCTTGTACATTGATGTGTTACATCATAGAAATTAAGTTTATCGGTTATACATCATCACTATATATCCGACTACAAAGTTCAAAAGTTTGCAAAATGATATAACACGCCCTCACAACAAAATTTCAAAACCTGTCCACGCGTCCCTTCGTTCTTTGCGCTGCAGTGCGAGAAACTCCAAGCACAAAGAAGTTTACAAGTTTATATATCAGTTTTGTTCAGGGTATATTTTTAAAGCTACATTAATAATGCCATGACGTGCCTCGATAAACATAAAAGTTTAATATTGGCAATAACTGAGATAGAGTACAGACGAACACAGCATCTAACTAAACTTCACTAAAAAACAGATTTCATCAATTACATAACCCTTACGTATATTACAAATTGTTAGGATGAATGTGTTGAGCCGTTTGTGAAGTAAATGTTCGCATCTTGCTGTGCATTCGAGAAGACTCATCAGAACTTGGGTTGCGATTGGTCTGTGGACCAGACGGTTGGTGATACACATCTCCTGTTGAGTGAGAATAATATCCACCAAACTGAGATGTCTCATCAACAGGCGGCCGTAGTGGTCCAGTACCGACAGGAGCTTGTGATAAGGATGGCCCTACCGATGAATTTCCGACTGACTGACTGGCGTCCTCAGTGCAGTCCATTTGGCTTCCCCACATATCCTGACTAACTCTCGAAGACTGATGCGTGGGACTGTCCGCAGCTGCAGATGCCCCACCCTGGCTAGTTCTCGGTCTCAAGAACGGATGACGAACAGCATAGTATGGTGATATACGAGTTTTTGGATCGTACGTCAACATTCTTTTGATCAGGTCCTTAAACTTGCTATACTCTTCCACTGAGTGCCCCGATTCTCCTGCGCGTCGTCCATTCGGGCCACCAGAGGTAACGCCTAGAATGTCATGCAGCTTCCTGTGTCCTGGTCCACGGTAACATTTGTTGAAGTTGTCACGCGTAGTCTTGCAATAATAGACTCCATCTTCTGTTTTCCCAAAGTACTTGTGAGTCTTCGGGCCAATGTCTAACAGTTCCTTTGGTGGCATTCCAAGCACCTCAACAATTTTCATCATTTGATCCAACTCCGAAGATCCAGCAAAAAGCGGTTCTCCTGTGTGCATTTCCACCAAAATACAACCTAATGACCACATATCGATTTTTGTATCATAGGCGATTCCTAACAAAACCTCGGGAGAGCGATAGAACCTTGACTGGATGTACTGATAAATCCGATGACCGATCTGACATGAAGATCCAAAGTCAATTATATTGATCTTCGATCGCTTAGGATTACACAGCAACACGTTTTCTGGCTTGAGATCGCAGTGAATAATAGATAGCTCCGGAGACGAAAGGAAAAGCAAAGTTTTCGTTAACTGTTGGGCGAACTTTCTGGTAAGATTGAGCGAAACACCACGGAAATTTGTATTCCTCAACAGATCGTAAAGATTATATGACAAGAGCTCGAATACAAGACACAGATGATTCCGGTGGACGAAATGTCCCTTGAGCAAAACGACGTTATACTTCCGCTCGGCGTCGTGTGCTCTCATCATTTCCAACAATTTGATCTCAATCTGCGCTTGATCGAAGAAAGTCTTCTTATTTTTTATGATTTTTATAGCAACATCCTCTTTAGCCACAGTGTCGTAAGCTCTCGTGACTTGTCCAAACGATCCTTTTCCGATAGGTTTTTCCGTAAGAATAATATAGCGAGCATTGAAACACTCGCCATCCTTGAGTATATAGTCACTATTTTTGTCATCATAGCCACCATTATGTGGACCTCCCCTGCTCGACTTTTGGCGGTTTCTATGTTCTTCGCCTTCTGGTATTGCGGGAACGACCATCAGGGACGTCGGTGGAGCATTTGTATCGAAATGAGGCAAACCCTTCAGTCCAGAATTTTGCTGCTTTTCTAAACTTGTCATACTATTATGATCAGTTCCTTGAAACTGCGACGTCACTCCAGAATTAGCTAACTGAGCATCAATGACAGCCGTCCCTGTTGCAGCGTTGTGAAAGGATTGGATATCGCCCTGATGTTCATGCCGTCGAAGAGCTTTTCGCAAATAGAAGGACTTATTAATGTTTTTGTAGGTTTTGATGAGATCACAGGTTAATTTTCTGATCGGAGCGTCAGCATGGCCACGATAGATTTTCTCCATACTCTCCTCGGTACCATCAGATGTAAGGCAGGTGTTTGTGGGTTGACGGTCCTAAAGAGAAAGCATATGAGAATGACTATGTGAAGAACTGTGAAGTTGATGTAAAGTATTATGCTTCAGGCAACTAAGTTCTTCGTACACTTTCGTATTATTAGTACGAACCTGCTCAAAGATCATCTCTGAAGCAATCCCCGCAACTGTTTGATCTCAAACATGGGTAATTAAACCTATCCGTTCTAGCCTACACTGCGAAGCATAATCATAGTTCCACCCATGAATCTCACAAAATCCCGTCTTACACGACGTTTTCAAAAATGCCCCATACAGAAAATGTGGTAATTACCAATACCAATTCGCATGCCAACACCAAACTCTAGCTTGAAAAAACAATTTTTTTCGTCAATTTTTTCAAAAATGGTCGTTCTGACAACGCAGCAAAAATATAGTTCCACCGCATATTTTCCGGCTGCATCTCATTTTTGTTCGGTGAAACTTCTCATCATTATGACTTCTTGCCTCTTCTAGGCTATGGCAAGTGGAACTTCATTAATGGACCTCGAAAAGGACAGATTATCGCAAAGAAGACTCAAAAACTGGTGAAGCGTCGATCGCTCGGGATTCGGGCCGCACTCATCATTCTATCAACAATTTTTTCCAAGAACCTACAGCATATTGAGTTGAGAAGAGCTCTGGACATCCTCCTTTGCTGCCCGATCGGAATAACCGCCGTATCCTTAGGAAAGCATCCAACTCTGCAGTGTCGTGTCGGGAAATTAAGTCATCTTCGCAGGTTAATGTCTCGGAGGATACTGTTAGGCGTGTCTTGGAAAACTCCCGAGTTCACCCATAGGAGGAATATGAGTTACGTACTGTTTCTAACGAAAAACCATCGCGAAAACCTAATTGGCTTTGCTCGAAGATGTTGCCGAACCCAATGGAGTGAGGTTGGCTTTTGGCTGCGGTGCCCTACTGTTGTCTGTAGTGTTTTTTTTTCTCGCGGTCGTGTTTTCTGATGAGAAAAAATTCAACTGCGACGGCTCCGACGAAAACCGATTCCGCTGGCACGACCTGAGGGAAGACAAGTTTCATTTTTCCGGGCGGAACTTCAGTGGATGTGGTCTCATGGTCTGGGCTGCCATCGCATTAATAGAACGTCTGAAACTGCGCTCCGTTAAAAGTCATGCGACAACGTCTCCTTGCTTTCTAGCGTAGGAATCAGCAAGAAGTCCCGTTTTAATGCAGGATAATGCACCAGTTCATGACAGTCGAAGCACTCGGCGTGATTCAGTTGTCACCAAACCGCTCTTTTGCCCTGGCCAGCGAGTAGCCCCGACTAAACCCAATCGAGGATGTGAGGGGCTTCATGGTGCGTATGATCCATGAGAGTAATGCACAATTCCACAATGTCCGTGAGCTTAGGGAGTTAATCATTGGGGCAGTCGGCCGAAAGCCTATTAAAATCGAACATGGGCAACCGTATTTTCCAACTTAATTGGAGAAATAGAGTTCCAATAGATTACTGGATCAAAATTTATTCATTTTATTGTACATTTGTTGTTGAAATATTCGATTTGTTCGGTGGAACTATCATTTTGCTGCGTTGTCAGAACGACCATTTTTGAAAAAATTGACGAAAAAAAATTGTTTTTCAAGTTAGTGTTTGGTGTTGGCATGCGAATTGGTATTGGTAATTACCACATTTTCTGTATGGGGGCATTTTTGAAAACGTCGTGTAAGACGGGATTTTGTGATTCATGGGTGGAACTATGATTATGCTTCGCAGTGTAGTTCATAGTTCACATGTTTGAGAGCAGGAATATGAGAGAGAGTTGAAAATTTCCCACATAGCAAGGAAACCAAGGTACCTCTTCGAGTATAATAGGCAAGGTTCGAAAGCACTGTATAAGAGGGTCATACTATACATCTCACATAGGGTTTCTGCCAAAATTGAGCCATCTCTGAAGGTTTGAATTTTGATAAGTGTGGTCATAGGTCTGATGGGAAACGGATCTCATGGTCAGCGCTCAGAATTTGCCGTCCCTAGCCAGGCAGTCCACTTCGATTTACAATCGCCGTATAATTTAGCTCAGATCACGACGGAGTGCAGTGGAAATCATAACTCCTGACTTGAAGCTTGAGAAATACCGTTACCGCTTCCCATTCCTTCATCCCCACCTCAAAAAATGAAAAACGTATTGTGAAAACAGTTACAGAGCTTGCATCAAACCTCAGTCACAGAACTCTCTTCTCTCCTCTGGAAAGACTGGGATCGCTGCGTACGGCCGTCATGCAGTGGCCTGCGATCGTTAGCATCATACTGATTGCACAATCTAAATAATATGAAAGTTGAACGCTGAAAAGAAGCAAAAAAAATGGATTGAATAGGAAAAAATTTGAAGCACTTCACGAGAAATAAAAGCCCCTGCCTCATTCAAAAAAGAGCGTAACCTATTTGTCACACTAGCTCTTCTACTCTACAATTGGGGAATTCACTCTAAAAATAACCAGCTAGCGTAGTTGGGAGAGGTGATCTCTCCGTCATGCGTCTTTGTCCATTATCTGTCCGAGGCTCAGGCATAAGGCGTATATGACCAGTCGCCGAGGAACAGTCACGCAGAGAAGACATAAACATAGAGCTGCTAACGAGTGGGCCTCTCACAACTAAGTTAGCATCAAAAATAAGTCGAAATCGGGACGAAGCTGAAGTTGTTCCACACCTCAACCATCGATTATGCACCGATTGAGAACTTGTTCCATAGAATAGCGTAATAACGCTCCGGCGCAGTTTGTCGACGGGGGGGGGGCATTCTGCTTTCCATAGATGTGCCGACCCATCTAGGTAGCCTTTTCTCGAGTTGACACGTTTTAGGATGGTGGCTAGACGATCTTGCACCAGCTTCACAAGTTTTACCAGAGCGAGATTTGTAAACCGGAACTAGAGAAGCAATGGTAGTAAAAAATGCCCCTCCCCGTCGGCAAACAGCGCCTAACGCTCCAATGGTACGGAACAAGTGCACAATCGTTGCGTTATCGACGGTTTAAGTCCCACAAAAGTTTCTTCATTGCTTGGTATGAACTGCGGTGAGACAGAAATGCTGATGCACTAACACTTTTCCTGATTTTTTAAATGACATCTTTCGAAAATCATTCACTGGACAGGTTTGCTTAGAGCGTCAAGGGGCACAGATGTTTGACCGCTCTCACATTGTCTGTTAGGATGGAATCCTTATGAAAGTAGGGCTCTCCAAAGTGAGAATAACCCGGAACGCAAACTGAGGACATCTCCAGACTTTTGCAAACTCTACGACACGACATCTACAACAACTATTTCCATGTTGAAAAGACTTTAACACGAAACATTTTGGATGAAGACGTTGTGATTTATCCTGGAGCCTCCATTCGTAGATAGAATTAGTGTTAAGAACTGCCAGAAACACTCATAAAAGAATCATCGGCACTATTCAACTATTACTACCCCAGTTTTGCGAAAACAGGCCGGATCTTGATCGACTTTTTTCTACGGGGGTGGATTTGGCTGAAAGTTGGGTTCTAGGGTAATTCGACCTCCTGAACACGAATATCACATCCACTTGGCCTGAAATTGCCTGGCGCCCGCGCCATAGGCGCCAGTGATTTGGGGCATTTTGGCGCCGGCGCCCGTAGCGCGGACGCGGAGCGGTTTCAAGCCGAGGGAATGTGATATTCGTGATTAGGAGGTCAAACTACCCCTAGGTACAAGTTTTCAGCGGATTTCGTGATCTAGGGTACTTTGGCGCCGGCGCCTGTGGCGCGGCGCCAGGCGGTTTCGAGAGGAGCGGATGTGATATTCGTGTTCAGGAGGTCGAATTACCCCTAGAACCCAACTTTCAGCCAAATCAACCCCCGTAGAAAAAAGTCGATCAAAATCCGGCCCGTTTCCGGAAATCTGGTGGTAGTAATAGTTTGTATATAGTGGGCGAAATCATCGCTACTATAATATATTCGCTAAGTTGTCTGTTGGCGTGTGTGAATTGCGTGAATGTCTGTGCGTGTGTTTGACCGAATCTATAACTTTCTTCAAAACAGTATCAATGCCATCAATACTGATAATGATGTAGGAGGTCGGGCAGGAACATTATTGGTGGGTGGCAGGAAGCGATAGCAGTTGATAAGATACCATAAGGGGCCGTATAAAGGCGAAGTCAGCAAATTCATAACGCGCGTCACAGCAAGACTAGAGCGTTGGTTCCAAGAAGTAAGATAGGAGGCAGGACGGGAACATTGTTTGGTGGGTGGCAGGAAGTGATAAGAGCTGATAAGATACCACAAGGGGCCTTATGACAACGAGTGAGCTAACCTGGATTCATAGCACACGGCCACAGCAAGGATGGACGTTGATTTCGAAAAGTTTAATAGGGGCAGGATGGGAGCATTCATTGGCTGGGGGTGACAGGCGAAGTGGATAACCAGCTTGAAATAAGATACACTACCGAGGACCTTGAAAAGAAGTTCAGTTACGCCTAATTCATAACACCGGCCACAGCAGCGATGGGACGTTGCTTTCAAGAAGTAAGATAGGAGGCAGGACGGGAACATTATTGGTGGGTGGCAGGAAGTGAAAGAGCTGATAAGCCTGTTATCACTTTCCTGGCCACCAACCGATAGACTGATAAACTTCAGCACCGGTGCCCAAGGAACAATGGTTAGAGGCTTCGTGAGTCAAGTATTCTATCCCTTAGCGATATGGTTACGACCGCTAAGCTCTCGAGTTTCGACGAAAATTAAAAGCCCTGGAAGCTGCTCAACGGAAGTACTAGGATGTGAGAAATGTGAGGATATATCACCATGATATCGATGTTATTACCATCAAAAGTCTTTCAACCGCTAAGCTGTCCTATTTCCAACGGATGATGAGTGTTTCTTAGAAATGTGATAAGCACCAGACATTAGCAAACGTTCATTAAATAGGAGAATCATAATGAAATAGGCCGTATTCTAAAAATTGTAATCGGGCGAAGTGTTCGGGGTCAATACAGGAATCCTGTCAGCGCAGTACCATTACCATAGGTTTAACCATACGCGCAGTAGTGCGCGTCAGCCAAGCTTGTCTTCTTAAAAATGATTTCAGCTTCACCGAGGTATTGTTTGCATCATTAAACCCGTCCCAGTTATTTTTAAGGAAAATGGAAATGAAGCTC